TAATAAATGGCGCTTTTTTTTTGGCTTTTGGCTTTAATTTATATGCCGCCCTTCTCCGGAGACTCAGGGCGGCTTACAGTGCATTAAGCAATAGCCTTCATACTTTTGTATATTTATACAAAGTCAGCTTATTGCCCCCACAAACTGGGTCCTCATTTCACCTACCTTAGAAAGGATGGAAGGCTGAGTCAACATTGAGCCTGGTGAGATTTGAACTTGCAGTAATTGCAGGCAGCAGATGTTAATAACAGTGCTTTAGTCCACTGTACTACAGGCTCTTTTAATAATAAATATATAATAAATAATAAATAAATAATAAATATTATAAGAATGCAGGAAAAGATGCTAATTGAGAAAGCTGATGGGTTAGCTCTTGTGCAACATGATTCTCTAATTTCTTTCTTTGTCTCCTGCCTTCCTTATTTTTTACGAATAACTCAAGGCGAGGAACATATCCAACAAACCTATTTTTCCCACAACAACCCTGTGAGGTGGGTGGAGCTGAGAGAGAGGGAATAGCCTAAGGTCATTAAGCCAGCTTTCATAGTGAAGGTGGGACTAGAACTCACCATCTCCTGGTGATTAGCTCAAAGTCACCCAGCTGGCTTTTGGGGCTAATGCGGGACTAGAACTCACCATCACCTGGTGATTGGCCCAAAGGCATCTAACCAGCTTTCATCGCTAAGTCAGGACTAGAACTCGGACTAGAAGAAGACTGCGGGGTCCTTGGTGCTCTCTGAGCTGGGTTGTTTTCTTGCAAACATTTCATGACCCGACTAGGTAACATCATCAGTGCTAGAAGGAAGTGGAGGAAAAGGAAGAGGGGGAGGAAGAAGGTGAAGAGGGAGAGGAGGAAGGGGAGGAAAAGGTTGAAGAGGAGGAGGGAGGAAGAAGACTGTGGGGTCCTTGGTGCTCTCTGAGGTTGGTTGTTTTCTTGCAAACATTTCATGACCTGACTAGGTAACATCATCAGTGCTAGAAGGAAGTGGAGGAAAAGGAAAAGGAAGAGGGGGAGGAAGAAGGTGAAGAGGGAGAGGAGGAAGGGGAGGAAAAGGTTGAAGAGGAGGAGGGAGGAAGAAGACTGTGGGGTCCTTGGTGCTCTCTGAGCTTGGTTGTTTTCTTGCAAACATTTCATGACCTGACTTGGTAACATCATCAGTGCTAGAAGGAAGTGGAGGAAAAGGAAGAAGGGGAGGGGGAGGAAGAAGGTGAAGAGGGAGAGGAGGAAGGGGAGGAAAAGGGTGAAGAGGAGGGGGGAGTAAGAAGACTGTGGGGTCCTTGGTGGTCTCTGAGCTTGGTTGTTTTCTTGCAAACATTTCATGACCCGACTAGGTAACATCATCAGTGCTAGAAGGAAGTGGAGGAAAAGGAAGAGGGGGAGGAAGAAGGTGAAGAGGGAGAGGAGGAAGGGGAGGAAAAGGTTGAAGAGGAGGAGGGAGGAAGGAGACTGTGAGGTCCTTGGTGCTCTCTGAGCTTGGTTGTTTTCTTGCAAACATTTCATGACCTGACTTGGTAACATCATCAGTGCTAGAAGGGAGGAAGAGGAGGAGGGAAAGGGGGAGGAAGAGGGTGAAGAGGGGGAGGAGGAGGGGAGGGGGAGGAGGCGAGGAAGAAGACGGTGGGGTCCTTGGTGCTCTCTGAGCTTGGTTGTTTTCTTGCAAACATTTCATGTCCCAACTATTTATTTTATTTTTATTTTATTTCGAATTTATATACCGCACCTTCTCCCGAGGGACTCGGGGCGGTGTACAGCCAGATAAAAACATACAACACAAACATTAAAAACAATTAAAAGGATATATATTAATTTGGCCCCAATTTAAAATAACAAACCAATTAAAAATATTTTAAAAATATGTTAAAAAATATGTTAAGCCAGCCCGGCTGAAAAAAAGAAAGTTTTAAGGGTAACATCATCAGTGCTAGAAGGGAGGAAGAGGAGGAGGAGGAGGGGGAGGAGGAGGCGAGGAAGACGACGGTGGGGTCCTTGGTGCTCTCTGAGCTTGGTGGTTTTCCTGAAGACATTTCACGACCCAACTAGGTAACATCATCAGTGCTCAAACCGGCCTCTTAGCTTTACGCTGTTGTCTTTCGCTTTACCCCCCCCCAAAAAAGCCAAGCGGCCTTCTTGGAAGTCAACCTTAAGAGTGGGGGCTAACTCTCTACTCCCTCCTTCCGCAAAGATGGATGCTTGGGCCCGAGTTCAAATTCCGCTTTTGGCTGCCGAGAGCCACCACACGCACCGCCCAGACGAGGCGGGGCCGAGAAGAGGCTTCCGCCCTCACCTTCTCCTTCTCGAGGTGCAGCCGGCTCTCCTCCTGCGCCGTCTGGTGCCGCTGTTCCAGCTCTTTCTCCCGCTGGGCCCAGCTCCTCTGCTGCTCCTCCAGGGTGGCCCGCAGGACGTCCTGCTGGCGCCGTTCCAGATCCCACTCGGCTTCCAGGCTCTGCACCCGGACACGTTCTGCCTCCAAGCTGCAGGACAGGGTGGCCTTTTCCTTCTCCTGGGGGAGGGAGGGGAGGGAAGGGAAATAGAGGAGAAAAGAATAAAGGCTCATCTTTGACGCAGCTGGTTTGCAGACGTTATTCTTAGCTCTCGTTAACCCTGGTTTACCGAATAACAGAGTTGGAAGGGACCTTGGAGGTCTTCTAGTCCAACCCTCTTCTCAAGCAGGAAACCCTCTACTGTTCCAGACAATCTCTTCTTTAAAAACCTCCGGCGTTGGGAGCGTTCCCAACTTCCGGAGACAAGTCGTTCCACTGGTTAATATGAAAGGCTTAAGAAGAAATTTTAAATGTTTTAATTGGTTTGTATTTTTAATTTTGGGCCAAATTTATATATATTTTAATTGTTTTTAATATTTGTATTTCATGTTTTTTTAATTCTGGCTGTACACCGCCCTGAGTCCTCAGGGAGAAGGGCGGTATATAAATTGAAAAAAAAATAATAATAATCAGTGAATTAACAGTGAATTTTCTGTTAGTATTCACTTATTATTGATCAGTGGATAAACCGAATAAAACATCCACGGCTGTGTAGCCTGTTGCTTTACAACGGGGGTCTCCAAACTTGAGACTTAACTTAAGACTCGTGGACTTCAACTCCCAGAATTCCCCAGCCAGCTCTTTTTTTTTTTTTCCCTTCACTTTGCCGAAGTCAAAAAGATATATGACGTTTAGTGCATACCCACCATCTGTGAAGGAAGTTACCCTATGTGGCTGGCTGGGGAATTCTGGGAGTTGAAGTCCGCATTAGTGGTGGGTTGCTACCAGTTCGTCTGATCTGGTAGCGGTGGTAGCGGGAGGCTCCTCCCACCTGCCCGGACGTCTCTGCACATGTGTAAAAGCTTTTGCACACGCGTGCACGCACACAAGCAAACCGGTAGCGGCCAAAATTGAAACCCACTACTGGTCCACGTGTCTTAAAGTGACCCAGGTTGAACACTCCTGGATTACAGATTGCAAGGTTGGGCTCTACCTGTCAGGTGAAACTTTTAATGCAAGGTCAGCCTCAAAAACAACCCTCCCTCCCTCCCTCCCTTCCTCTCTCTATCTTTTTCTCTTTGTTTTTTTCTCTCTCTCTCTCTCCTACTCTCTCTGTTTCTCTCTTCCTTTCTCTCTCTCTCTGTCCCCTGCTTTGTCCCTGTTTTTCTCTCTGTCGCTCTCTCTTTCTCTCTCCCTCTCTCTCTGCCCTTCTTTGTTTTTTCTCTCCCTCCATTCCTTCCTCTCTTTTTGTATTTTTCTCTTTCTCTCTTCCTCCCTTTCTCTCTGTCCCTCTCTCTTTCTCTCTCCCTCCCCCTATCTCTCCCACTTCTCTCTCTTTTTCTCTTTGTTTCTCTTTCTCTCATTCCCACTCTCTCTGTTTCTGTTTCTGTTTCTCTCTTCCTTTCTTTCTCTTTCTCTCTCTCTCTCTCTGTCCCCCGCTCTGTCCTTCTCTGTTTTTTCTCTCTCCCTTTCTCTTTGTCCCTCTGTTTTTCTCTTCCTTGCTCTCTCTCTGTCCCTCTCTCTCTGCCCCGCTCTTTTTCTCTCTCTCTCTCCCTCCCTCCCTTCCTCTCTCTCTTTGTCCCTGTTTTTCTCTTTCTCTCTCTTCCTCCCTTTCTCTCTGTCCCTCTTTCTCGCTCCCCTCCCTCCCTCTCTTACACACCACACACACACACACACACACACACACAGAGCAGCTCTTACCAAGATCTCTTTCTCCCTGCAGTACTGGCTGGCCAACTGCTGATCCCGGTTGAGGGAGGACAAGGCCTGCTGGAGCCGCCCTTCCAGCTCTGACATTTTCTAAAGAAGAACAAAACCGACATGGAAGATCCTTCAGGACGGATCCAACTTGGAAGCACAGGTAGTTAGTCCTCGACTTACGACCCCCGATCAAGCCCAACATTTATGTCGCCAAGCGGGGCATTTGTTCAGTGAGCTTCGCCCCCATTTTACGACCTTCCATGCCTCAGTGGTTAAGTCAGTAAGACGATTGTAAAAGTGAATCTGGCTTTCCCCATGATGACTTCGCTGGTTGGAAGGTCGCAAAGGCGGATGATGTGACCCCGAGGCGCAGCAACCGTCATAAATACGAGTCAGTTGCCAAGCGTCTGAATTATAATCATGTGACCATGCGGGGGAGGGGGGCTTGCAACGGTTGTAAGTGTTAAACATGGTCCTAAGCCACTTTAAGTTCGAACGGTCACTACACAACGACTGTCTTGGTGGAAATCAGTATTTAAAAGGGAAAGTTGAGCTCCTGTGAAGAACAGAGGAGGGGACGAGGGGTTCTCCCGTGCGCAAGGGCAGGGGACGATGGAGCCCCGCCCAAAATGACCCACCTCCTTCTGCCTCCCCAGCCCCTGCTCGGCAGCCTCCTTCTCGGTCTGCAGCCTCCGCAGGGACACCGTCCGCTCGGCCTGCTGCTGGTTCCAGCCTTCCACCACTTTGGCCAAAGTCTGGCGAGAAAAGAAAAAGGGAATCGGTTGAAAAACAAACCACGTTTCTCGTCGCCTAGAAAAGCCTCAGAGACAGGCCTGAGTTTTTTTTTTTTCCCTCCCCTTCTCCAGGGCGGAGAGACTACTACGCCATCCATGCTCCCCAGATAGCCCGGCCATGATTGGGGTGGACGGGAGATGGAATCCGAAAGATTTGCAGGAGGGTTCTGGACTAGGAAGGTTCTCTGAATCGGAAAGACAGAGGAGAGGGTGAGGTTCTGGCATTGAGAGACGGTTTGGTCTAGCGGTTAAAGCATCAGGCTGAAAAAATAGGAGTCCGTGAGTTCTAGTTGTGTCTTAGGTATGAAAGCCGGCTGGGTGACATTGGGCCAATCATCAGGAGACGGTGAGTTCTAGTCCCGCCTTAGGCCAGCTAGGTGACTTTGGGCCAATCACTAAGAGATGGTGAATTCCAGTCCTGCCTTAGGCATGGAAGCTGGCTGGGTGACATTGAGCCAATCACCAGGAGACAAGGAATTCTAGTTCAGCCTTAGGCATGAAAACCAAAGGAATTGAGGTTTGTGGAGTGGGGGAGGCGGAAGGGGGGGGAAGAGGAGGAGGAGGAGGAGGAGGAGGGATATGACTGTAAGGTCCTTATTGCTCTCTGAGCTGTTTTCTTGCAGACGTTTCATGACCCAGCTAGGTAATATCATCAGTGCCGGTTAACCCCACTTCCTTCCAGCACTGATGTGTCATCTAGCAGGGCCATAAAAAGTCTGCAAGTAAACAAAAGAGCTTAGAGATCACCCAGGAGGCCACATTCCTCCTCCACCTCCCTCCTCCTCCTCCCCTTCTCCTTCTCCTCCACTCTGCAAACCCTTCCAGCACTGATGATGTTACCTAGTTGGGTCATGAAAGGTCTGCAAGAAAACAACCCAGCTCGGAGAGCTCCAGGGACTCCTGAATCCACTAAGCGAAACCTCCTGCGGAGACCCAGCCGAGCCCCCCACACACACACACACTTTGCAGGAATTGTTCTCTCCTTGTCTCCTCCTGCCCCACCGCCCCCCACCGCCCAGCCGAGGCTCACCTTATCCAGCTGCTCGATCATGCTGTCTTTCCTCTGGTCGGCCGAGATGGCCACCGCCAGCTGTTGCTGCAGTTCCAGGATGCGGTTCTGGAGGACCTGGATGTGCCGCTCGCAGTGCTGAGAAAAAACGGGAATAGATTAGAATAGAGTAACAGAGTTGGAAGGGACCCTGGAGGTCCTCTAGTCCAACCCCCTGCAGAGTAGAGTAGAGTAGAGTAGAGTAGAGTAGAGTAGAATAGAATAGAATAGAATAGAATAGAATAGAATAGAATAGAATAAATAGAATAAAGAAAATATGGAATGGAATGGAATGGAATATAGAATGGAATGGAATGGAATAGAATAGAATAGAATAGAATAGAATAGAATAGAATAGAATAGAATAGAATAGAATAGAATAGAATAGAATAGAATAGAATAGAATAGAATAGAATAGAGAAAATATGGAATGGAATAGAATATAGAATAGAATAGAATAGAATAGAATAGAATAGAATAGAATAGAATAGAATAGAATAGAATAGAGAAAATATGGAATGGAATGGAATAGAATAGAATAAAGAAAATATGGAATGGAATGGAATGGAATATAGAATGGAATGGAATGGAATGGAATGGAATAGAATAGAATAGAATAGAATAGAATAGAATAAAGAAAATATGGAATGGAATGGAATGGAATGGAATATAGAATGGAATGGAATGGAATGGAATGGAATGGAATGGAATGGAATGGAATGGAATGGAATAGAATAGAATAGAATAGAATAGAAAATATGGAATGGAATGGAATGGAATGGAATGGAATGGAATAGAATAGAATAGAATAGAATAGAATAGAATAGAATAGAATAGAATAGAATAGAATAGAATAGAATAGAATAGAATAGAATAAAGAAAATATGGAATGGAATGGAATATAGAATGGAATGGAATGGAATGGAATGGAATGGAATGGAATAGAATAGAATAGAATAGAATAGAATAGAATAGAATAGAATAGAATAGAATAGAATAGAATAGAATAGAATAGAATAGAATAGAGAAAATATGGAATGGAATAGAATATAGAATAGAATAGAACAGAATAGAATAGAGAAAATATGGAATGGAATGGAATAGAATAGAATAAAGAAAATATGGAATGGAATGGAATGGAATATAGAATGGAATGGAATGGAATGGAATGGAATGGAATGGAATGGAATAGAATAGAATAGAATAGAATAGAATAGAATAAAGAAAATATGGAATGGAATGCAATGGAATGGAATATAGAATGGAATGGAATGGAATGGAATGGAATGGAATGGAATGGAATGGAATGGAATGGAATAGAATAGAATAGAATAGAATAGAAAATATGGAATGGAATGGAATAGAATAGAATAGAATAGAATATAGAATAGAATAGAATAGAATAGAATAGAATAGAATAGAATAGAATAAAGAAAATATGGAATGGAATGGAATGGAATATAGAATGGAATGGAATGGAATGGAATGGAATAGAATAGAATAGAATAGAATAGAATAGAAAATATGGAATGGAATGGAATGGAATGGAATGGAATGGAATGCAGAATAGAATAGAATAGAATAGAATAGAATAGAATAGAATAGAATAGAATAGAATAGAATAGAATAGAATAGAATAGAATAAAGAAAATATGGATTGGATTGGAATGGAATGGAATGGAATGGAATGGAATGGAATAGAATAGAATAGAATAGAAAATATAGAATGGAATGAAATATAGAATAGAATAGAATAGAATAGAATAGAATAGAATAGAATAGAATAGAATAGAATAGAATAGAATAGAAAATATGGAATGGAATGAAAAATAGAATAGAATAGAATAGAATAGAATAGAATAGAATAGAATAGAATAGAATAAAATAGAATAGAATAGAATAGAATAGAATAGAATAGAATAGAATAGAATAGAATAGAGAAAATATGGAATGGAATAGAATATAGAATAGAATAGAATAGAATAGAATAGAATAGAATAGAATAGAATAGAATAGAATAGAATAGACAGAACAGAACAGAACAGAATAGAAAAAAATAAGAATAGAATAAATAGAATAGAATAGAGAATAGAATAAATAGAATAGAGAATAGAATAGAAAAAGTAGAATAGAATAAAATAGAATAGAATCTCTTGGCCCTGCACTGAACAGAGGATGCAATGAAGGGTCTGGATTGAGTGCAACAAACCACAGATAGTCCTTGATTTACAACCGTTCGTTTAGTGTCTGTTCGAAGTTAACCACGGCACTGAAAAAAAGTGACTTGGGATTGTTTTTTTCACACTTAACGACCGTTGCTGCATTCCCTCCCCCCCACGGTCATGTGATCAATTTATGACAGTTGCAATGTCATATAAGGGTCACGTGTGATCTCGTTTTAAAACAGTCCCAACGAGACAAGTCTGTCAGGAAGCCAGATTCTCACTTAACCACCGTGTGACTAAGGGAACGACCACAGGGCTTCACTTAACAATGGTGGGAAGGAAGGTTGTAAAATGGGGGGCAAAACTCCCTTCACTGTCTCGATTAGCAACGGAAATGTTGGCCTCCATTGTGGCCGTAAGTTGAGGGCTCCCTGGAAAATGCCTGTCTGTCCATTTATTAATATCCCACGTCTAATATTTTTATAAGTAACTGAAGGCGGTGAATCCTCCTCCTCCTCCCTTTTGCCTTTTGCTCACTTTGGTTAAACTATTGCAGGAACTCCTCGACTTACAACTGTTCATTTAGTGACCAAAGTTACAACGTCCCTGAAAAAAATGACTTGGGACCGTTTCCCACCTACCCCCCTCCCTTTACAACCATTGTAGCATTCCCCCGGGCTCAAAATTCAGAGGCTCGGCAACTGATTCATGTTTATGACGGTTGCGGTGTCATGCGATCGGTTTCGGCGACCTTCTGATGAGCAAAGTCAACGGGGATTCACTTAACAACGTGTGACTAACTTAACAACTAAACTGGGGCAGAGCTCCCTTCCCAAGTGTTTCACTTAGTGGCAGAAATTTGGGGCTCAATTGTCATAAGTGAAGGGGCAGGAAAATGCCATAAAATGGGGCAGAGCTCCCTTCCCAAGTGTTTCACTTAGCGGCAGGAATTTGGGGCTCGATTGTCGTAAGTGAAGGGGCACAAAAACGCCATAAAATGGGACAGAGTTCCCTTCCCAAGCGTTTTACTTAGCGGCAGGAATTTGGGGCTCAATTGTCGTAAGTGAAGGGGCAGGAAAACGCCGTAAAATGGGACAGAGCTCCCTTCCTGAGCGTTTCACTTAGCAGCAGGAATTTGGGGTTCAATTGTCGTAAGTGAAGGGGCAGGAAAATGCCATAAAATGGGGCAGAGTTCCCTTCCCAAGTGTTTCACTTAGCAGCAGGAATTTGGGGCTCAATTGTGGTCGAAAGTTGAGGGCATAAAATGGGGCAGAGCCCCCTTCCCAAGTGTTTCACTTAGCAGCAGGAATTTGGGGCTCCATTATGGGTCATAAGTCAAGGGCTACCTGTATCCTCTTTGGCCACAGGGAGATTTTGCCCCTATTGCAAGTGGAAACGGGCAGGTAAGGGGCGGTGAAGCAGGTGAACGAGGACCGCAGGAAAGGTCACCGGAGGCCACTTGGAGCGGCTGAGCCGAGGAGCTTTGCTTAATGTCCTAACACCACCTGACCTCCCCCCCCCCCCCCCCCACCCCCCTAAGCCAGGCCTGCCCCTGGCTGCAAGAAAGCATCCGGCCGGCTGGTAACGCCAAGCAATTGCTTGTCCCACTTAGAAGCCACTCCGGTGGGGCGGGGGGGAAACGTCTGCAGAAACCCGCTGTAGCGGCCGTGCGGAAGACCGTCGTTGTTGCGAGGAATCAGTTGACCTTAAGACTTTGGAAAGAGTTCAGAGAAGAGCAACTTAAGATGATTAAAGGCCTGGAGATTAAAACCTATGAAGAACGGCTGCAGGATTTGGGGATGGGCCAGTCGGGAGAAAAGAAGGACCGGGGGGGTGGGGAGGGGGACGACATGATAGCAGCATTCCGGTATTTGAGGGGCTGCCACAAAAAAAAAAAAAAAAGGGTGTGTGTGTGTGTTGTCAACCTATTCTCCAAAGCACGAGAGAGAAGGACAAGAAGCAACGGATGGAAACGAATCAAGGAGAAAAGCAACCTGGAATCACTGTAGTTGATAAGTTAATTACTCGGTTGTTAAGTGAATCTGGCTTTCCATGGGACTTTGCTCACCAGGAGGTCGCAAAAAGGGATCATGTGCAACCGTCATAAATGTGAGTCAGTCGACATTCCCTCCTGGGGGAAGGATACTGCAAAATCTCCATTCCCACCCCACTCCTGGGGCCAGCCAAAGGTGGTCTTTGCCCAGTTCTCCGAAGAACTCAAAATTTCGGCAACCGGTTCTTCAGAACCTGTCAGAACCTGCTGGATTTCACCCCTGCATCCAGGTCACGGTTGTCTCAAAGGTGATTCGCTTAACGACGGTGGCCAGAAAAGTCGTAAAATGGGGGCCAAACTCACTTCACAAGCGTCTCGCTTAAGCCACGGAAATTTGGGGCTCAATCGTGGCCGTAGGTTGCATTACTTTTGGTCAGTGCATCTGCTGTTTACGGTACGCTTTTAAATCTGATTGCTTGAGCTGGTCATAAAGCTTCAAATCTCTTTTATTTATTGGGGTGTTTGTTTTTTACATATTAACAGAGTTGGAAGGGACCTTGTAGGTCATCTAGTCCAACCCCGCAGACACCCAAGCAGGAAACCCTACACCATTTCTGACAGAGGGCAGTCCAGTCTCTTCTCGAAAGCCTCCAGGCAATATGGAAAGTCAGTCGACAAGCATTTGAATGTAAATCACGTGACCGTGGGATCCCGCTACAGTCGTGTGAATGATGGTCATGTCGCTTTTTTGTACCTTCAAACCGTCACTAAATGAGCTGTTGTGGAGGACTATCTGTACCAGAGACAAATTCCTTGTGTGTTCCTAAGCACACTTGGCCAAATAAAGCATTCAATTCAATTCAAGTACGTGAATATTCCAGCTCCCCTTTCTTTACCCCGAAAACAAGTTAATATCTAGACTTTCCTTACAAGTGGAGGAAAAATCAGAATAGAATTAAAAATAGAATTAGAATTGGAAATAGAATAATTAGAATTAGGGAAAGGAAAGAAGGAAAGGGAAAAGAAAGGAAAGGAAAGAAGGAAAGGAAAGGGAAAGGAGAGAAGAGGGAAAGGGAAAAGAAAGGAAAGAAGGAAAGGAGAAGGGAAAGAGGAAAGGAAAGAAGAAAAGGAGACAGGAAAGGAAAGAAGGAAAGGAGAAAGGAAAGGAAAGGGAAAGGAAAAGGAAAGAAGAAAAGAAGACAGGAAAGGAGAGGAAAGGAAAGGGAAAGGAAAGAAGGAAAAGAGAAAGGAAAGACGAAAGGAAAGAAGAAAAGGAGACAGGAAAGGAGAGGAAAGGAAAGGGAAAGGAAAGAAGGAAAAGAGAAAGGAAAGAGGAAAGGAAAGGAAAGGAGAAAAGGAGACAGGAAAGGAAAGGAGGAAAGGAGAAAGGAAAGGAAAGAAGGAAAGGAGAAAGGAAAGGAAAGGGAAAGGAAAGGAAAGAAGAAAAGAAGACAGGAAAGGAGAGGAAAGGAAAGGGAAAGGAAAGAAGGAAAAGAGAAAGGAAAGAGGAAAGGAAAGAAGAAAAGGAGACAGGAAAGGAAAGGAGAAAAGGAGAAAGGAAAGGAGAAAGGAAAGGAGGAAAAGGAAAGGGAAAGGAAAGAAAGAGGAAAGGAGAAAGGAAAGGAAAGGGAAAGGAAAGGAAAGAAGAAAAGGAGAAAGGAAAGGAAAGGAGAAAGGAAAGGAAAGAAGAAAAGGAGACACACCCACAGAACAGGTAGGGAAAAATTTTGGATGTCGCCCCTGCACTGAGAGCATATGCACCAAAGACAAATTCCTTGTGTGTCCAATCACACTTGGCCAATAAAGAATTCTATTCTATTCTATTCTAGTTCAGTTTCTACCCATTATTCCTTGTCTGGCTTTTGGGTGCTTTGGAAAATAGATTGACCCCCTCCTCTCTGGGGCAGCCCCTCAAATATTGGAATTGTGTCTCCCCTGGTCCTTCTCTTCACTAGACCAGCCATGCCCAGTTCCTGCAACCGTTCATCGTATGTTTTAGCCTCCAGGCCCCTAATCATCCTGGTTGCTCTTCTCTGCACTCTTTCTAGAGTCTCAGCATCTTTTTTATAGTGTGGTGACCAAAATTGGATGCAGTACTCTAGGTGTGGTCTTACTAAGGCTTTAGAGAGTGGTGTTAGTACCTCCCTTGATCTCGATTGTATCCCTCAGTTAATGTAATTTAGGAGTGTGTTGGCTTTTTTGGCTGCTGCCACACACTGTTGGCTCATATTTAGCTGGTTGTCCACTAAGACTTGTTTTCTCGGGATCCAAAGAACCAACTCCCTGGGCACCCAATCGCTGCCATGATCCTTGGCCAAATGCCCCCCCACCTGAAAAAGACTTTAGGGTAGGAGTGCCAACCTTGGAACTCTTAAGATTTGTGGACTTCAACTCCCAGTATTCCCCAGCCAACCACATAGGGTAACTTTCTTAATAAATGGTGGGTATGCAGTAAGCGTCATATATCTTGTTGAAGCTGTTGTGGCTCCTGTGTCATCGGCAGGAGAGGACTCCGAGAGTGAAGGAGAGGAGTTGGCAAGGCCTCCCTCTCTAGGACCCTCCTCTCTGGCAATGCCTTTGGTGTCTGCCGAAGGGCAAGAGATAGGGCCGGGGCCAAGCACGTCCACGCAGCCACAGGTGGACAGTGATGAGGGTAATGAGTCTTGGCTGGATCCACGCCAGCGTCGCAGAGATAAGCGCACGCAACAGAAGAAATGCAATAGAATGCCCGAGATTAGGCTGACCACTGGACCACACCCCACAGGGTATAAAAGGGAGCGTGGTGGCCAGTCAAACCTTGTGACGAACAAAGCTGAAAGCTTCCACGTCATTCTGCATTACCGGACTTTTTGCTATAGACTTTGCTGGATTATCTCTGGATTTGATTGACTCCGTAATTATTGAGCTGTTTCTTTTGATGTACCAGAAGCGGGGAGAAGTTATCTCTCCTCTTTGTAAGTAATAAACTCTTGGCAGGCAGCCACTAGGTTGTTGCCAAGTTCCGTTATCATAAGGAAAAGGATTTTGCCGGCTGGTTTGGTCTTTAACTCTTGAATGTCTGTTGGGGTGTGTGCGTGTGGTTGGGGACAGAACAGAAGCCCACAGGTCTTAAAAGTTGCCAAAATTGGGCAATCTGCCTTAGGAGGTTGGGTTTAGGACAAACAAGGCCTCCCAAACTAGCATTCTCAAGCCCAATTAGGAAGGCACCTGGTTCGTGGCCCATGCCCTCGCTTACCCACGATCCTTTGCAACCCCGCGACGATCCCCAAGTCCAACTCACTTTCCGCCGAGCCTGTTCTTTCTCCAAAGCGTCTTTTAGCAAGCGGGGATCCAGTTGGGAGACTTGATCGTGGAAGTGGCCCAGGCGCAGGCTGGTGTAGCGGGGGAAGAGATCCTCGAAGCTGGCCAGAGATCCCGGAGGGGAGACTTCGTGCAGAGGACGGGCGCTAAACGAAGCCAAGAGAAGCAAATTTAGCAAGGAGAAAAAAAAGGCCAAAGGCAACAAGGAAGCTAGCAGGAAGTTGCAAATCGTGGTTGTTTCCTTAATGGCCAAAGTGGAAGTGATATAAACTGGACACATCTACATGATATTTCCCATCGTATCACTTAGTGACTGATCTGCCAGTGGTTGTTAAGTGAAAACTGCCTCTAACAGAATCTGGTAAGGACTGGCAAATCCTCAATTTACAACCGTTTAGAGATTTTTCGAAGTTACAACGGCACTGAAAAAAGTGACTTGTGACCGATTTTCACACTTACGACCATTGCAGCATCCCCGTGGTTACGTGATCAAAATTCAGACCCTTGACTCAGTTTTTGTTTTTTTTTTAATTTGATTTATATGCCGCCCTTCTCCGGAGACTCAGGGCGGCTTACAATGCGTTAAGCAATAGCCTTCATACTTTTGTATATTTTTATACAAAGTCAGCTTATTGCCCCCACAAACTGAGTCCTCAATTTACCTACCTTAGAAAGGATGGAAGGCTGAGTCAACCTTGAGCCTGGTGAGATTCGAACTTACAGTAATTGCAGACAGCTGGTGTTAATCACAATGCTATCAGTCTGCTGAGCCACCAGGCCCTATTAATTTATGATGGTGGCAGTGTCCTGGGGTCACATGATCCCCTTTTGCGACCGTCGGACGAACTAAGTCAATGGGGAAGCTGGATTCATTTAATAACAGTGTTATTAATTGAACAACCAAGGCTATTCACTTAACAAATGTGGCAAGAAAAGTCGTAAAATGGGGCAAAGCTCACTTAACAAATGTCTCACTTAGCAACGTACGTTTTGGGCTCAATTGTGGTCGTAAGTCGAGATGACCTGTATTGTTGCTCTGGGCTTTAAAAAATTGGTTAGGGAACACTTCCTGCCCATTTGCCTCAAGGTTATAAATTTAAATAAATAAATAAATAAATTTTGTATTTATTTACTTATTTCTTTTGTAGTGTATACTGGAGGGGATGACCCTTTGAGAGCTGCATGCAACAAAATTTCATTTTAATGTATGCCGATCAGTGTACAATTCTGTTATATTTTATTCTATTCTAGAATGTGAAAATATTTACAGACCCTTTGCATCCTGGACATAAATTGTTTCAACTCCTACCCTCAAAACGACGCTATAGAGCACCAAGACAACTAGACGCAAGGACAGTTTTTTCCTGAACGCCATCACTCTGCTAAACAAATAATTCCCTCAACACTGTCAAACTATTCACTAAGGCTGCATTACTATTGCTATTAATCATCTCATCGTTCCCATTGCCCATCTCTTCCCATTTGTGATTGCATGACTGTAACTTGTTGCTTATATCCTTGCGAATTATATTTATATTGTTTCCTAGTATGATTTGATTGCTTATTGTACTGTATGACTGTCACTGGATGTTGTGCCTTGTGATTCTTGACGAGTGTATCTTGTCTTTTTATGTACACTGAGAGCATATGCACCAAAGACAAATTCCTTGTGTGTCCAATCACACTTGGCCAATAAAGAATTCTATTCTATTCTATTCTATTCTATTCTATTCTATTCTATTCTATTCTATTCTATTCTATTCTATTCTATTCTATTCTATTCCTATTTCTACTCTACTCCTGTTCTGTTCTGTTCTGTTCTTCTCTACACTACTCTACTCTACTCTACTCTACCTTCCTTACTCTCTGCACTTAAAGAGACCACCGACTCAGCTAAGGCCGTCTTACTTGAGCAGGGCACCTGTGCTGTCACTCTCGAAGGAATCGTCATCTTTGCGTTCCAAGGACTCCAGCGTGACTGTCGGGCCCCCTGCGAGAAGAGAGCACAAAAAGGGCAGCTGAAAGCAGGCACGGCTTTCAGGGGTACTTCTGTAGGGGAAGAAGTGGCAGAAGGTGGGGCGGAGTCAAAAAAGAGCTTTTGAGAAGATTCCCGCGTAGAGGCTTTCAGCCATAAAGCAGTATAATTGGACCTTCACATGTGGCCCTTATCTTTCCCACTAGACAACTTTCCCTACAATTCTCACCAGAACAGGCGAGAAGTGCCAGATCAAAGATTTCAGGGAGCCTATTGCAATGGATCACTAGCCCAACTGTTCCCTCCTTCCCCTATTTTAGCATGAAATAGAGCCCCATTATCTTGGCTGGGGGATTAAAGGAATCTCAGTTCGACTTATAGAAAGGCGCTAAATTGAAGGGCTGTTTTGTGAAATAAAATAAACTCTTAGAAAATTAGACCGCCAGTTTAGCCTACTGTTTAAGTCACCAGCTGAAAATTGGGAATTGTAGTCCTGCCTTAGGCATGAAAGCCATACGGGTAACTTTGGGTCAATCACCAGGAGATAGTGAGTTCTAGTCCTGCCTTAGGTACGAAAACCAACTGGGTGACTTTGGACCAATCCTCCTCTCTCTCAGCTCAACCCACCTCACAGGTTTGTTGTTGTGGAGAAACTAGGAGTAGGAAGGAATATTCCGTACGTTCGCCATCTTAAGTTATGTATAAAAATAATATAAGGAGGTTTCTAAATGCAATAAATAAAATATCTGTTGTCGGGCCCCTGTAGGCATGTTGGGGATTTTATTTATCCCTTCATTTCACATCCCATCCAGGCCATTCCCCTTTTCCCACTCTCACCAGGCACATCTCTGGATCCCCGCAGCATACTCTGCAGATGGCACCGCACGTTCTCCATCTCCGAAATATGGCGGGACTCAGCCACGGCGCCCTACAAGAAACGGAGAGGCTTAGCCACCCACCGAAACTTTCCTGCAATCTGGTGGCGGTTTGTCCTAGAGGTCACTTTCTCACCTGCCTAAATGCGCTGGCTTCCACGCCTGCGGAAAGACGATGGCTCAGCTCTTCCGCCAGAGTGTCGAGATCGACGTCGGCATCCATGGCTTTCCTAGCCAGGGCAGAGCCGTGCTGTCCCTCCAGCCGAGAAGAGGCCAGAGCCTCGGCCTGCCGGCTCTGGTGAAGAGAGGCGTAGAGCTGGGTGGTGACTTTGGAGGTATACGGGGTGGCCAGCTGAGAACAGGGCACCTGCTGCCCAGGGGTTGGGGGATCCGAGGCTGGCAGCAGCTCCATGTCGCTTAAGAGATCGTCGCTGTGGAGGGAAGAGCTCAGAGCTCTCCTGAGGCCCTTCTCAGCCATGGTCCCGGGGTCCTAAGTAAGGGGCTGTGGTCAGCACAAGCATTCTGAGCTCAGAAGGCTGGGACTTTTGTCATAATGGAGCCCCAAACGCCGGCAGCAGGAGGCTGGAACCACCACCAGGAAAGCAGCTGGTCCCTGGAAAAGAATAATAATAAAAAAAAGCAGTTTAACTTCAGAACATAGAGGAAGAAAGCCAGGGAAACAAGTCCTGCTTTTCCCTGGATGTTTTTAAAATGACCTGTCAGACGGATTTTGGTAGTTTTGTCTGCCTATCCAGCCCTGCCCAATGATCTGGAATAACCAGATGTGGATGTTTAACCGCGTCAGTGGAGCTCTCGCCTCACAATCAGGAAGCTGTGAGTTCAATCCTAAATAGAGGCAGATATTTCCCTCTCTCTCTGGGCACACTGAGAATATATCTGCTGAAAAAAACTCTGCATTGGCGTGTAGGAAGTTAGCACCCGCCCCTCTCCTGGAAGAGTGAAATATTTTAGAAAATATGAAAAAGGCAGAATATTATATTTCCCTGGGAGAAGCATATTTTACAGACAAAGCAGCTCCCACCTTCCTGCCCCCACCCTTTGTCAATGGGCCATTAAGGCTTGGGCCAGTCTATTCTACATAACAAAGATCTACCTCCTTCAGGCAGAGCCATAGTAGGAATTGCGAAAGATAGGATTAGCCCTCTACACAATAGCAGTAGAAACTCACCACATGTGACCTGGGAAGCACATCTGACCATCAGCCAGCAAGACCCCCACCCCCTGGGAGTCTGACAACCAATCAGGATACTCTTTCGTGGCCCCAAGAAATGCAGAGCCAGAGAGAGCATAAAAACCCGAAGATTTACTGTATCACCCTTTTTTCTGTTCAGGAACTCAAGCCATGTGATCCTGTCCACCATTAAACCATCTTTCCAAGCAGTCTCCATGTTTCCAGTGTCTGTTTCCCCACTTGGAGCAGAACCCAGAAGGAAGTTTCTTCCAACAGGCGACAGGAAGGGCATCTGGCCAGTAAAACGCTCAGCTTCATTCAGTTGCCGAAGACTCCACCCCGCACGGGATTATGGGGTTATTAAAAGAAGATGATGAGTTGCAGGATGTCAGCTGTTTCAAGCAAAGCTGCCTTGTGTAATTGACTAATGGGGATTCTTTGTCAATGCCAATGGTGTTCCAGCGGTGGCTCCAGATATTTTGGGGAATTGCATCCAAGGCCCTTGGGACCACTGGTGCTCCTTTTTTTGCTTCTGTGTGCCACCGTCGTTCCGCTTCTTTGCGTTTTACGATCTTCACTTCTTTCTCTTCTCTTCTGCCGACTCTTCCGCCACCTCCACTCTCCAGATGTTTCAATTTCATTCAAATTGTTGGAAGAAATTTCCCTATGTTCGTTCCCCAGCTGTGAAGCAGTCACCGATGCTGAGAAGAAATGAACATGAAAGCCAGCTGCCAGAAAAGGGATCCTTTAATTTAGGAAGGCAAGAAAAGTCGTGACACAGCTCGAACGTTCCTGGTATGCTTGGACACTACCCTGGATTGTGCTGAGGACGAAATAATGGGCAAAAATTATTTGCCCTAGCACAAAATGGGGGATTGCGGGAAGTATACCCCAAAAGGACAATGCCAGAAACCTCATAGCACCAGAAACTCAAGCCAGCTCTTCCCCCCTTTAAGAAAACCAAGAAGCACCAGCTGAAAGAAAAACACAAAGCAGCCCTGACAACATAACTGGCAGTAGAAACACTTAAGTAGAGCCATTAAGATAAGGGGAATCAGGCTAAAAATAAACCCTCCAAGGTAAACCAAACTCCCTTTTTCCTGCCTCCCTGACAGAATTAACCTTTAGGACAGGAATCACAAAAGATCTGGGACCAAGATTAAACCCAGCAAAACAGGAAAAAAAACAGGGCAATCAGAAACCCATCAAGCTGCAGGAGAATTTTCAAAGGAAAATGAAGTATAAAAAAGGTACAGGCTTGCAAGCAGATGGCAGGAATCATGCTCCAGTTGTGTGCCTACTTTTTTTTTTCCTCCTCCTCCTCCTCCTCCTCCTCCTCTTCCTCTTCTTCTTCTGCCATATCCGTCATCGGACGTTGGCGATCATGTTGGCGATCCTACTTTTGTCAACAGCCACATGGAAAAGGGCTGCCGAGTTTTATCCAAACTGGTCCCTTAAGGTTTTGAAACCATGATGTTCTTCTTCTGCCTGGACCTCGTTTGCCTTCCATCTTTCCCTGGAGGATTAAGTGAAGGAGGCCGTATTTTTCCGGCTGTCGCATCCCATGTCCGAAATATTCTAACTTTCGCTTTTTTAATGGCTTTGATGATCTCCCTTGGCTTTCCCAGGCAGCTTATCCCCTCCTCTTTTGTGATTTTGTTAACCCAGCTTGTACATATAACAGCCGTCTGTAAATCCACATTTCAAAGTTTCTTCAAGCGGTTTTCTGTCAAGAGACCAACTCTCCACTCCGTAGAGCAGGATAGAAAAGATGTAACATCTACTTTTCTTGCCTTCCTTGAATTAAAAGGATCCCTTTTCTGGCAGCTGGCTTCCGTGTCTGTTTCTTCTTAGCATCGGCGACTGCTTCTCAGCTGGGGGAACAAACACAGTGAAATTTCTTCAAACTGTAGTACCCATGTTTCCCCAAAAATAAGACCCTGTCTTTTTTTTTTTTTTTTTTTTGAACCCTGAAATAAACACTTGGCCTTATTGCCATGCGCTCAAAAGCCCGATTGGGCTTATTATCAGGGGGATGTCGTATTTTGGGGGGAAACAGGGTAGTACTCTATTTATTACATTTCTATGCCATCTGGCTGCCTGAGGTGACACTGAATGGCTTGTTATATTGTAAAAATTATTCCGATTCCGAGGGGGGGAAATCACAAAAAAATGTGATTTTGAGCTCAGGGAACATGAAAATTTGGGTGAGGCTTTTTCCTCTTCTTCTTCTTTTTCTTCTCTGGTTCCTCCTCAGCCTGGCCCAGAATCCGCTCCCCAACTTTGAGAAAGGTCAGTTGGGGAAGGAGAGGATGGGAGACCACCAGGAAATCCCAAGACAAGGGGAGCAGCGAAAGCAACCTCCTCCCTGCCCATATTGTGTCCTGGGCTCCAAAATGGCTTCCTGTAGATGACCCCTTTCCCCTCAGGACCCCCCCCCCGCAGACCCCCCCTCTCCTTCAACCTCCTCAGCTGACCCACCACCTTGGACTCCATCTCCCATCATCCCCCGCGAGCTCAACCACGCTCCCAGGGAGGCCAATGGGAGTTGGAGTCCTGCACATTTGGGGGGGAGGGGGCCCCTCCCCCACTCCTGAGGTAAATTGTGTCCCCCCTCCCCCACCCGAGGTAAATTGTCCCCCCCACCCCTGAGGTAAATTGTGTCCCCCCTCCCCCATCCCTGAGGTAAACCGTGTCCCCCTCCCCCCCCCCAGCGTCCCCTCCCCGTCATTTTAGCGCCCTCCTCCCCGCCTCGGGTCCTCGCTTTTGAGACCCACTTTGCTGCCCTCGCCAGGCCTCTAGGCCGCCATCCCCACCGTTTCGGTCCTCGCCGGGGCCCCCCGCTCGGCTTCTTTCGCCCCCGCGCAACGCCGGGCAAAGCCTCAAGGGACGGGAGCGGGGTGAAGCCGACGCCGCCATTTTCCTTCCGGGCAAGTCTTTCTCCCCTCCCCCCCCCACCCCGCCTCGTCGTACTGGCAAGGCCCCCGCCTGAAGGGCGCGCGCGACGGCGCATGCTCGGGGAGAAGGGCGGGCCGAAAGCGAGGTGGCGGGGGGGCCAATCAGCGACCGCGGTCGAGGCGGAAGCGAAGGACGTCGGGCCTGCAGGTTGTCATAGAGACGGGGAGCGGCGGCTGAGGTAAATATTTGAGGGGCCCCCCCCCGAAAAATCTGAGGGGGTGGTGGTGGATGATGGGCGGCGTTATCCTCATGACGGGTGTATTGATATCCCTCTGTGTTGTTGGGGGGGGCTGAGGGGGGGCTCTCCCGCAGCCGGGCTCTAACTTGGGGGTCCCCTGCCTGCCCCCCCTTTTTGTCTCCCCCCCCCCAGATGACGGTGCACAACCTCTACCTCTTCGACCGCAACGGCGCCTGCCTGCACTACAGCGAGTGGAACCGCAAGAAGCAGGCCGGCATTTCCAAGGAGGAGGTGAGGCCCCCCCACCCCACCCCCACGGCCCCCACATGGGAGGGGGGGCGGAGGGGGGAGCACTGCCGTCTGCACGCGCTCAGAGGCCTCGGCCAGGCTCCTTTGCGAGGGGGGGGGTCTCTTGGCACCCAGAATAATAATAATAATAATAATAATAATAATAATAATAATAATAATAATAATAATAATATTTACTTCATGAAACGTGAAACTCAGTCAACTGAACATTCAAAAATGCATCACAAATCCCATTGACTGGTTGTTAATATTAATAATAATAATAATAATAATAATATTTACTTTATTCATTAAACATGAAACTCAGTATATAATTATTATTATTTTTTCTCTTTTATTCATTAAACATGAAAGTCAACTGAACATTCAAAAATGCATCACAAATCCCATTCACTGGTTGTTGTTAGTAATAATAATAATAATAATAATAATAATAATTACTTTATTCATTAAACATGAAACTCAGTATATAATTATTATTATTATTTTCTCTTATTCGTTAAACATGAAAGTCAACTGAACATTCAAAAATGCATCACAAATCCCATTGACTGGTGGTGGTGTTAATAATAATATTTACTTTATTCATTAAACATGAAACTCATTATAGAATTATTATTATTATTTTCTCTTTTATTCATTAAACATGAAAGTCAACTGAACATTCAAAAATGCATCACAAATCCCATTGACTGGTGGTGGTTGTTGTTAATAATAATAATAATAATATTTACTTGATTCATTAAACATGAAACTCAGTATATAATTATTATTATTATTTTCTCTTTTATTCATTAAACATGAAAGTCAACTGAACATTTAAAAATGCATCACAAATCCCATTGACTGGTTGTTGTTAATAATAATAATAATAATAATAATAATATTTACTTGATTCATTAAACATGAAACTCAGTATATAATTATTATTATTATTTTCTCTTTTATTCATTAAACATGAAAGTCAACTGAACATTTAAAAATGCATCACCAAATCCCATTGACTGGTTGTTGTTAATAATAATAATAATAATAATATAATAATAATAATAATAATAATTACTTTATTCATTAAACATGAAACTCAGTATATAATTATTATTTTCTCTTTTATTCATTAAACATGAAACTCAGTCAACTGAGCATTCAAAAATGCATCACAAATCCCATTGACTAGTTATTATTATTATTATTATTATTTCTTATTCATTAAACATGAAACACAGTCATCTGAATATTTAAGGAAGGACAACTTCCTCCCTTCCTTGTCTTTTCCCTTCCTTCCTTCCCTCCCTCCCTCCCTCCCTCTCTTTTCCCTTCCTTCCTTCTTGTCTTTTCTCTTCCTTCCCTCCCTCCCTTTTCCCTTCCTTCCTTCCTTCCTTTCTAAGGAATAGCAGTTAGACTTATATACCACTTCATAGTGCTTTACAGCCCTCTCTAAGCAGTTTACAGAGTCAGCCTATTGCCCCCAACCATTTGGGTCCTGGTTTTACCAACCTCGGAAGGATGGAAGGCTGAGTCAATCTTGAGCCTGGTGAGATTCGAACTGCCAAACTGCTGGCAGCCAATGATCAGCAGAAGTAGCCTGTGGTACTGCACTCTACGCACTGCGCCACTTCGGCTCTTATAAATTGTTAAATTAGTCACACGGGCGTTAAGGGAATCTGGCTTCCTCCCCTTGACTTTGCTCTTCGGAAGGTCACAAAAGGGGGATCATGTGATCTGGGCCACTGCAACCGTCATAAATATGAATCACTTGCCAAGCATCTGAATTTTGCTCACGTGACCACAGGGAGGATGCAACGGTCATAAGCGTGAAAAACGGTCATAAATCTGTTTTTCCGGTGCCGTTGTCACTAAGTGAACTGTTGCAAATCGAGGACTACCTCTATTCAGATTATTCAATGATTCAAATAATTTAATTTAATGTATTGGCCACAGGGTAACTCTGGGTGGCTTAACAACATTGAAAAGATAAAATTGTAAAAAAAACCTATAGACAAGATAAATACAGGTAGCCCTCAATTTAGGACCACAATTAAGCCCAAAATTTAGGTGGTTAAGTGAGATGTTTGCAAAGTGAGTTTTGCCCCTGTTTTATGACCTTCCTTGCCGTAGTTGTTAAGCGAATAACTGTTACATTAGTCACACAGTTGTTAAGCAAATCCGGCTTCCTCACCTGCCTTTGCTTGTCAGAAGGTCGCAAAAGGGGGATGCTGTGACCCGTCATAAAACTGAGTCAGTTGCCCAGCGTCTAAATTTTGATCACCTATCCCTGAGGATGCTGCAAAGGTCGTAAGTGTGAAAACAGCCCAAGTCCCTTTTTTTTCAGTGCCGTTGTAACTTCAGACGGTCGTACAATGACCTGTCGTAAATCGAGGACTATCTGTGATCTTAACTTGCTGTAAACCCAATTGGGGTCTTTTTGAATTCGGGTGGGCCATCAAAATTGTGCTAGAAATAAATTTAAAAAACCCAACTTGTAGTGAGAGGACTTACATCCCATTAAATCCACGAAAGCTTTCCAGAAAACCCCAGTTTGCCCTTTTCTAAAGGCCCGATCTGACCTATTACAATTGTATTCCAAACCGAGGAGCATTCGAACACCCATCATCCCCAGCCAATATGGCCGCGGACTGTGGGAGGATGGGAGTTACAGCTCCATTTACCCCTAAGGAACAAAACCCCTGTGGTGAGGTAGATGGGCCGTTTTAAAAATCTGCTAACTAAATCGATAAAAAAAACCCCGCAAACCTCACTTGGGAGATGTCCTTTGATGTGACATCCCCAAAAGCTGATTTAAGCTTCCAACGCTTGCCGATAAGTGTTATTTCAGTTTGACCGGGGTTTAAAAAAAAAAACGCGCTGCTAATCTCGCCCGATACGAATCTTTCAAAAAAATTTGGTGGGGCTCCAAGGGAGCAGGGCTTAGCTGTTAATGGATTAAAAAAAAAACCCTTTAAGCTGATTGAATGCCATGCTTACATGTGCTTTGGCAGCTGCCGCTGGCCGCAGAGAGACGAAAGGAACGGTGGGGCTTAGCTTTGTACTGCTGCTTTTAGCCAGGTATCAGAGCTTCTTTAACTACTGCTCTTTATCCTGTGGGTAGAGGGGCAGAAGAAAAGCGGGCGGGAGTAGGATCAAAAATCCAGAACTGGATGACCCGGGAGTCCACCGTCTTGCCCGGTGCAGGAATCCAAATCCAACTTCCCACGGATGGCTGGCCAACCCCAGCTGGACACCTTCAGTGAAGAGGATGGGTCATTGGTTTCACCCTTGAATTGTGAGGAAGTATCAGGGGACATGATACAAGTGGAACGCAGTGGCTCAATGGCTAAGACGCTGAGCTCGTCGATCGAAAGTTCGGCAGTTCAGCGGTTCGAATCCCGAGCGCCGCGTCACGGGGTGAGCTCCCGTGACCAGCCCCAGCTTCTGCCAATTTAGCAGTTTGAAAGCACGTGAAAAATGCAAGTAGAAAAAATAGGGACCCCCTTCGATGGGAAGGGAACAGCGTTCCGTGCGCCTTTGGCATTGAGTCACGCGAGCCACATGATCACAGAAGATGTCTTTGGACAGCGCTGGCTCTTCGGCTTTGAAACGGAGATGAGCACCGCCCCCTATAGTCAGGAACGACTAGCATGTATATGCGAGGGGAACTTTTACCTTTTATCAGGGGCAAACAACAAGACCCACCCATCTAAGGTTCAAGTCGACTACTTATTTATTTTTATTTTATTATTTTATTAATTCAATTTGTATGCCGCCCCTCTCCGAAGACTCAGGGTGGCATTATTGTTCTCTGCCTATAGTACAGGAATCTTTCCCCTGACCGGCAGCGTTCGCACGGGAACGGACAGATAAGGCTCTAAGGCGAGGGTGTGTCCAACCTTGGAAACTTTTAAGACTTGTGGACTTCAGCTCCCAGAATTCCCCAGCCAGGAGGGTTTTCCAGAATGCAGCATGGATAGGACTAGAACAAATGTACCTTTTTTTCTTTTTCTTTCCTTTTTAAATTGGGAAACTTTCTTAGTAGATCATGGGAATGTGGTGGATGTAATATACCTTGATTTCAGCAACATGGAAAAAAAATGACCCATAACAAATTAAATTAATGAACGAATTAGAGGTGGGCTAGATGGTGTGACAATTTAAAGGGGAAAGTAATGCGCTGGTTGAGGAATTCTGGGAGTTGAAGTCCACAGGTCTTAAAAGTTGCCGAAGTTGGAAACCCCCCCCCCTCCTCTAAGGCATTCAGGGGAACTTAGACCTAACCCTCATTGTGTTTACATAGTGAGTCCAGGCTAATTCCCCACTTGACTCCCATCTGGGATTCTAGCTCTCCAACAGAACATTTTTTTTCTAACATTGGGGTGGGATCTGCCGTCCCGTAATTTTAATTCACAATTCTGGGTCCTGCACCCCATTCAAGACCTATATCTATGCAGGAAGGTTTTTTTTCCCCCACAATACAAGGAACATGAGACCAAAATAGTGTTGCCCCATGGTGCTCAGCAGGGGAAGGGTTAACCTTGACAGACCGTCTCCTCATAAGACTTTCTGAGCCCCGCTGGGCCCTGCCTGCAGCCTCTGAAGCCTGAAGCTGTGTTTTTGGGTTTTTTTGTCCGACCGACCGCTGTGTCGGAAGCCTTTAAAGCTTGGATAAACAGAACAGCACAATGTCCCCTTGTGTTGAATTGCCTTCATTTGCATAAACTTGGTGCAGTGTGGTGCCAAAGCATTACGAGTCGACTGAAAAAAGCCTGGCCTCTCGCTCCTTCCGAGACTTAGCATTTTAAAATTAGAATTTAACCCAGAATTAAGGAGAAAATCCTTGTCAGCGAGAATAATTGCAGGGCAGTCCTGGACTTAAAAGCCGCCACCGCTGTTGAGCTCCAAAATTTCCGTGGCTCTTGCGAGACAGTGAGTTTTGCTTGCCCCCGTTTTACGACTTGATCTTGCCATCGCTGCGGCTGATAAGTTACTAACATAGTTGTTAAGTGAATCTGGCTTCCCCCCTCTCCCCCCCGACTTTGCTGGTCAGAAGGTCGCAAAAGCGCATCACGTGACCTTGGGACATCGTGACCGTCCTAAGTACGAACCAATGGCCAAGCCCCTAAATTTTGATTGCCAGACCCTGGGGATGCCTCGACGGTCGTGACTCTGAAATACGGTCCTAAGTCACATTTTTCAATGCCATTGCAGCTTTGAACAGTCACTAAACAAACTGTCGTAAGCCGGGGACTACCTTTATTAAGGCTTAGAGCTTTTAGAATAACTTTATTGTTGCTTTGAATGCACACTCATCAGCATACATTAAAATGAAATTTTGTTGCGTGCAGCTCTCAAAGGGTCAGCCCCTCGGATATGCACTACATAACCATGAGAGAAAGAAAGAAAAAGAGAGAAAAAAGGAAAAGAAGGGAGGGAGGGAGGGAGGGGGAAAGGAAAGGAAAGGAAGGAAGGAAGGAGGAGGGATGGAGGGAGTGAAGGAAGAGAAAGGGAAAGAAAAAAGAAAGTGAGGGGAGGAATGGAGGGAGGGAGGAAGAGAAAAAGGAGAGAGAGGTGGGAGGGAAGGAAGGGAGGAAGGAAGAGAAGAAAAGAAAAAAAAGGAGGGAGGGAGGAATGGAGGAAGGAAGAGAAAAGAGGGAGGGGGAAGGAAGGAAGAGAACGGGAAAAAGAAAGGGAGGGAGGGAAGGCAGGAAGGATGAGAAAGAAAGAAAAGAAAGGGAGGGAGGAATGGAGTAAGGAAGAGAAAAAGAAAGGCAAGAGAGAGAGAGGAAGGAATGGAGAAAGGAAGAGAAAGAAAGAATTAATACAAAATTATGCATATGCCCATCTGTGTTATATGACCCAGAGCGACCTGTTTTCTGTATCCCATAATGGCCCCTCATCCCTTCTCTCTTTTTCTTTCTCCCTCTCTCTCTCTCTCTCTTCTCCCCATCCCAGGAATTCAAGCTGATGTATGGGATGCTATTCTCCATCCGCTCCTTCGTTAGCAAAATGAGCCCTGTGGATATGTATCCTTTTTCTCTCCCCCCCCCCCTCACTGGACAATCTCAGGGTGGGAGTGAAGGACCCCTCGGGGATTTTTCTTCCTAGTATATCTACCCCTACTCGCACTTTGCAAGACTTGACGCCTGGCGGGACGGCGAAGAGGGCGTTTGTTTCCCTTAACGTCCCGCTCCGCAGGAAGGACGGCTTCCTCGCCTTCCAAACCAGCAAGTACAAGCTGCACTACTACGAGACCCCCAGCGGACTCAAGGTGGTGATGAACACAGACCTGGGAGTGGGCAACATCCAGGACATCCTGCACCAGATCTACAGCTATGTGAGGATGTGTGTGTTGTTGTGGTCCTCGTCTTACGACTTGGAACCGGGGCCCGAATTGTCTACCGCTAAGCAAGCCAGCCGCTTGTTAAAATGGAGTCGTGCCCAGCGGAATGGCTTGAGTTATTTAAAGCTTGAAGGAATTAAAAAGAAACACTTTTGCCGGCGGTCGCTTTCCAGTTTTCCTGCGGAAATTGGAAAAGGCCTTTTTTTTTTTTTTTTTTTAAATGAAGTCTCAGCAAGTTTAAGAAATCTTTTTGCACTGTCATCTAAAACGACTGGGGAATCTTAATAAGCGGAATGAAAAAGATTCCGGCGATAGAAGAAAAATATTGGTAGCGCAGGATCGTTTTCTTGTGGAGAGGAGGAGGAGGAGGAGGACTGCGGGCTACTTGGTGCTCTCTGAGCTTGGTTGTTTTCTTGCAGACGTTTTGTGACCCAGCTAGGCAACATCATCAGTGCTAGAAGGGAGTGGGGCTTGCAGAGCTGAGGACGGGGGAGGACTTGTGGGCTCCTCTAAGCTTGCTGGTTTTTCTTGCCGACAATTCACTACCCTAGCAGGTAACAACATCAGTGCTGGAAGGAAGCGGGATTTGCTCACCCTTACAGAGCAAACTGATGAGGTTATCTAGTCAGGTGATGTGACGTCCGGCAGTTAAAAGGTTCCTTTTCATTCCTGCTAAGAAGATTCGACACTATCAATGCCTTCTTCATGGGGAAAAAAAAATATAAAAAGACGAATTGGACCCTTTGAAGGCCACAATCCTGCCCCATTTTTCCCCTCTCGGGGGGGAGGGGGGCGTTGGGTGGGCTCGGGGGGGGGAAGGGTAAGGAATCCCCGCTTACCACCCCATCTCTGTTTCTCCCCTCTCCCTTAGATTTACGTGGAGTACGTGGTCAAAAACCCCCTCTGCAGCTTAAACGAGAGCATCCAGAGTGAACTTTTCCGGAACAAGCTGGACAGTTTCGTCCGGGCTTTGCCCTTTTTTTCGGCTCGTGCCGGCTAGCTCTCTCTCTCTCTCTCTCTCTCTTTTTTTGGGGGGGGACACTCCCCCCACCCCAAGGACTCCGTGGAGCATGAACAGTCCAGAAATAGCACGCCAGCATCATCATTTCCCATGATGCTGGCCATTTGCACCCTTTCAACAAGGAATTTCCCCTCCGAAGAACTGGATCTGGATGTTGCTCCATCACTGGATATCGCTCTTATTTATAGCGGAATATTCTGATTTTTCTTTTCTTTTTTTTTTTAATAAATCGGATCTCAGTTATTTCGGGATATTCGGACCACGTTTTTCTTTTTCTCCCCATTCGGGACTTGTCTTTTGGGGTTTGTCTTTGAGGAGCCGTCGGTCGTCGGTCTCTTCGTTCGACTTTTAAACCGTCACTGAACGGGACGGCCATGAGCCTGCGTTGAAGGAGGTTGGGAGTTTTTACGCTGCTGTTTTGCTCCTGCTTTGTTGATTTTTCTTGGGCTTCGAGGCCCCGAAACGGAAAGGAAAAATAGAAGCGTTTCAGTAGCAGAAGGAAATGCAGTCTCGCGTCGTCGCTCAGAAAAATAAATATATAGCCGGGTGACTCCTTTGTGTGTATTTTTTTTATTCCATGAATTTTTTGCTCTCTGGATTCGGAGCCAGGTTTATTATTCCCAGTTTCTTGCATACACGTGGTCCTCGATTTACGACAGTTCATTTAGTGACCGAAGTTACAACAGCACCGAAAAGAGTGAAACTCTGATGACCGTTTTTCATACGTAACGACCGTGTTTGTAACTTTTGACGGCCGCAGCGATTTGACTTCGCCACTGTGGCGAGGAAGGTCGTAAAACTCGCTTCGCTGTCTCGCTTAACCACAGAAACGTTGGGCTCGTTTGTGGTCGTAAGCCGAGGACTCCCTGTCCCCTTGGCCAATCTGAAAGACAACGGGTGGCAGCCTTCAGAGGTTACTTGTGGGGCAGTGCCAGCAGGATGGGAACGGGGCAATGCCCCAGGAAGGTCCCGAAACGAAATACTGTACCGATCGATAGCCCACGTTCTTCAAATCTCTGCTTTTATGTTTTCCGGCTGTTGTTTTTCTCCCTGGAGTACCTTGGATGAGCCTCTCCAGGTTATAGAATAAATCCTAGAATAATAATAATACCGTTGAAAGAGAAATCTTGGAGGTCTTCTAATCCAACCCCCCCAGACAAGTTGGCTGAGCTGGGGCAACAGCGCACGTGTCCATAGGTTCGCCATCGTGACCATACACCATTTTGAACAAGTGGCTGTCCAGTTTCTTCTTAAAAACCTCCACCACAACTTCTGGTGGCAAGCAGTTCCTCTGGTTAATTGTTCTCACTGTCGGGAAATTTCCCCTTCATTTCAAGTGGCTTCTCTCCTTGATGAGTTTCCATCCATTGCTTCTCCTCCTGCCTTCTGGCGCTTTGGAGAAAAGCTTCACTCCCTCCTCTTTGGGGCAGCCCCTCCAATAGTGGAATATTGCCATCATGTCATCGTCCCCCCCATTCCTTCTTTTCATTAAACGAGACATCCCCAATTCCTCCTGTTTGATCCTTTTCTAATCCTCTCGGTTGCTCTTCTCTGCACTCTTTCCAGAGTCGTCTTTCCTTTTTTAAAAAAAAATGCATCCAGAAATGTCTTTTTTAGTTCCGGCAGTGCATAAAATAAGACTTAATCTGTTCTCCGTTCTTCTTTGGAAATTTGCAGACTTCACTTTAGGGACTTCCTCTGCGTAACGACGACAGCTACTGACTGGATCTCCAAACTCGACATTAAACTCTGAAATGTTATTTCTGTTTTCCTCTTAGGGTTTCTTACTGCTCTTTTTCGAATCGTTTTAATTGTTTTAACCGGTAAAAATGAAGTGTTTTAATATTGTGTGTGACCAGCCATACGCTAAATAAATAAATGCAGGATGCGTAATGGGAGCTGGGCCTTTTGATCTCGCGTCGGCCTTTTTACCGTATTTATTTTGTCAGAAATGTCCGACACGCCAGGCCCCTCTTGCAAAGGAGATTATGCAAGGGTTACAGTAGCGGCCAAAATTGTGGAAACCTTTTGGGAAAAGTGTATTTTCTAAAACTAACTCGTAACACCACTTTTTGCTTTTTTGGAGTAGTACCCTAAAATTATACATCAATGGAAAGATAATTTAATCAAGAACGTAGTATGATAACTTTTGTGAAGGATTTGCTATGAGAATAGCAGGTATGCATAAAGAAGAAAAGTGAAACAGGTAGGAAAAAAATGAGATCTACAAAAATGATCCCCATGTCAGTTAAGGCTTCGTTGGGTCACCTTTAGCATGAATGACGGCCTAACAACGTCTTCCCATGGAGGGAACCCAGTTTTTGAGTTCTGCAGCTGTTATGTGAAACCAAGATTGAATGATGGCTTCTATGAACTGAGTTTGATTGCCGAGTCGCGTCTGACTAACCGGTTTCTTGAGTCGGCTCCCTAGATTTTCAATTGGGTGAAGGTCTGGGCTCTTCCCAAGCCATTCCAGCCGCGGAATAGGATTATCTTGAAACTGCCCCCCAAAAAATGGTATTATTAGCCATCCAACCTCCAAAATACACTTTTCCCAAAAGGTTTCCACAATTTTGGCTACAACGGTAGGTTTAAGGCCACCCAGGTTGATTTACGACCACAATTGACACCCCCCCCCAAATTTTTGTTGCTAAGCGAGACGCTTGTGAAGTGAGCTTTGCCCCGTTTTACGACCTGCCTTTGCTCCGGTTTACAAACTTGCCATTTGTTAAATTTGAATCAGTGCAGTTGATAAGTTAGCAACACGGCTGTGCGAAGTGAATCCGGTTTTCCCCATGGACTTTGCTTTGTCAGGAGGTCGCAAAAGGGGATCACGGGACACTGCGACCCGTCGTAAGTATGAGTCAGTTGCCCAGCCTCTGAATTTTGATCAGGGGATGCCGCAACGGTCGTAAGCGTGAAAAATGGTCATGTCACTTTTTTCAGTGCCATTGTAACAGTGGAGTGGAGTGGAATGGAATAGAATGGAATAGAATAGAATAGAATAGAATAGAATAGAATAGAATCTGGAAGGGACCTTGGAGGTCATCTAGTCCAACCCGGTTGTTTAAGCAGGAAGCCCTCTACCATTGCAGACAATTGGAGCTCCCACAACTTCTGGTGGCAAGCTGTTCCACTGACTTAATTGTTCCACTGATTAATTGAATATTGTCATCGTTCCCCCCTTGGATCTGAGCCTCTCTACACGTTATTACTCACCCCCTTTTCCTCTTTCTCCCTGCTGCACCCCCTCCGATCTCCCCCAAATGGACCCGGTGGGGGGGGGGAACATTCAGCCAAGAGCCGGGGGAAGGGGGGGTCTCTGCTCCCACCAGGAAGTGTTAAATTTTCCACAATCCCCCATTTTAATTCCTCTTAAAAGCTCCAAATGGGAAGAGTGACATCTGTGAACATTCGGCCGACAGTTTTGAGTTGAAATCTATACTTATAGAGTCAAAGAGCACAAGAGGTTTCCCCCAAAGCCCCTTTGCATCTGCAGAACAGTATGGGTAACTCCTCAACTTACGACCACAATTGAGCCCACCATTTCTTGTGCTTGAGTGAGTTTTGCCCCCATTTTACACCCTTTCTTGCCACCGTCGTTAAATGAATCCCCTGCAGTTGATATGTTTGTCACCTGGTTGTTAAGGGAATCTGGCTTCCCCCATTGATGTTGCTTGTCCAAACGGGGGGATCACGTGACCTTGGGACCCAACAACGGCCATAAGTATGAAGCGATTGCACAAGCCTCTGAATTTTGGTCACATGGCCATCGGGACGCTGCAAAGGTCGTAAGTATGAAAAACGGTCATAAGTCCCTTTGTTCGGTGCCGTTGTAACTTTGAAAGGTCACTAAGTGAACTGTCGTAAGTCGAGGACTACCTGTATCTGTATACAAGTAGTCCTCGACTTAACAACCATAACTGAGCCTGGAACGATGGTCCTAAGTCTTTGTGGTCGTTAAGCCGGTGACCGGGGGGCTGTGCCGCCTGATTTTACCGCCTTGTGTGAGGCGTTAAGCGAACGCGAGGGGTCATTAAGCAAATCCATGGGCATTTTTGCTGGAAAGCAGGAGGAAATACACACACACAAAAACCCATCAAAATTGTGGTTACAATAGAGTGGTGTGGTGGCCTAAAGGTGTAGCTTTTGCCTCACAATCAGGAGGCTGTGAGTTCGATCCCAGGTAGAGGCAGCTATTTCTCTCTCTGGGCACAATGAGAATATATCTGCTGAACAAAACTCCACATTGGCAACAAGAAGGGCATCCGGCCAGTAAACACTCAGCTCCATTCAGTTGCCCAGACTCTAACCCGCAAGGAATTATCGGGTCGTTAAAAGAGGAGGAGGATCAAAATTGTGATTACGTGACTGTGGGATGCTGCAAAGACATCCAGAAAGACAAACAGCTTGCCAGGCATCCACACAGCCGTTGTGTGACCGTGCGGCTGAGGGTTGTGGCTGTCAGAACATCAAAATCATGTTGGGGACAGTCTTCCACTTCCATTGCTCAGCAATCAGTCCTTAAGCAAGGACTACCTGCTGTTGCTTAAGCGAAGGCCACTTTATCTCCTGCGATCCTGCACAAATCTCTTGGCAGTCCTCGACTTACAACAATTCATTTAGTGACCGTTTGAAGTTACCCCGGCACTGAAAAAAAAGCGACTTGGGACCGTTTTTCGCACTTAACGACCGTTGCAGCATTCCCCAGCGTCGCGTGAACAAACTGGCAACTGACTCGTATTTATGACACCATGCAGCATCCCGGGGGTGGGAGTCACGCGATCCCTTTTTGCGACCTCCTGACGAGCCAAGGCCATGGGGAAGCCCGATTCATTGAACCGTGTTCAGAGGTGGTATTCAGCCGGTTCGGAACGGTTCGCCGAAACCGATTGCGGAAATAGTAAGTGGGCCCGGCCACCTTCCGTGGCTCTATGCCATCCTATTTAGGCACGTTTTTGAGGCCGGGTGCGTGCGCTGAAGGTGCGCACGCGAGCAAAGCCACGCGCGGAAGGCAGGCACGTGTGTGAACTGGGTAAGCGTGCACAGACGGGGCGAACTGGTAGTAACAATCTGCAACCCACAACTGACTGTGTTACTAACTTAATAAATGCGGCGATTCACTTAATCCACCGTGGCAAGGAAGGTTGTAAAATGGGGCCCAAAGTCGCTTCGCCGCTGTCTCACTTAACCCCCCCTCAAAAGATGTGGGGCTCCATTGTCGTTCTAAATCGAGGCAATTTCGAGAAGAGCAGCCGGTGTGTCCAAAAGGCGAGATCCTTTTGCCCCTCGGACATAGCTGCTTTCAAAAGCCGGCTGGGAATCCCACCCCCAATGCAGAGTTTGCGTGAAGAGCAAAGACCGGCCCGTTCCTCACTTTTCCCGTGGAAAAAAACGGGGCGCTCCAATCGCGTCATCGGACCCCCTTTTCTGACTGAGTGAAAAAAGACCGTGTCCCCCCAAAAATCCGCGGAAATTATTCACTCCCCCCCAAGAAAAAGGGATTAGGCACCAGCCGGCGATCAAAAGGCTGCGAGCCCGGGGGAGGGAAAGGCGAGGACCCAATGGAAAACACCAGCACAGAGACCACACTCAACAGCTGCTAGCCCTACAAATCCCCCACGTGTTCCCCCACCCCCACCCCACCCTGCAGATTGGGGGGGGGGAACGACACAGCCCAGAAAAGCCACTCTGTGATTTTTCCACACAGGCTGCTGTCCTCCGCAAGTACCGATTTTTCCCCCCTTCCGCCTCCCACCCATGTTTGCTAGTTCTTCGCGTGGGGGTCCGGCCCCCATGAGTCGGGGGTCTACCGGAGTCGGGAGCAAATTCAGCCTGGAGGAACTCTACGGCCTGAACAAGAAGAGCAAGACGCGCGGGGGAGACGGCGGCCAGCGGCGAAGCCCCAAGAGACAGGGGGTCCCTCTGGGCTCGGATGGGGAGGCCCTGAATTCTCTCCAGAGAGCGGAGGCCACCAGGTGTTGCCTGGAGAAACGGCGGATGGAGAGCTACCTCATGGAGGCCGGGATGACGGTGGAGGAAGCCGAGAGGAGCCAGAGCAGCATGAGACACAGGTAGGATGGGGGGGGGGGGGGGTCATTTAGAGTTGGGGTACCCCGGAGAGTGAGTTGCATTGGCCTAGATTTTTTTTTCGCAGAATCCTAAAGTTGGAAGGGAGCTTAGAGGTCTTCTAGTCCAACCCCCCCAGCTTTATGGCATCCCCCTTCGAAAGTTAGCGTGGAAAAACGGGGAAAAGAAAGAAGGAATTTTGCTTCTTTTCCCCCCCTTTTTCCGTCCATGCGATATTCGTTCTCTGTAGGGACCAGATTTCCCGGCTGGGGTGGAGAGACACCGGAGTCCAGCCACATGGGTAAACGAGTGGTCCGTGCCCTCTCTCGGAGACCTCACCCTTCCGCTGTAGTGCCAGTGGATTTCCCCTGCTCAGAATGGGGAGGTGCGGAGGTCACTCGAATGGAAAATCAAAAGGTAGCCCAGACCTGACTGGCTGGGAGCGATGGGAACTGTAGTTCAACTCACTGGAAGACGCCAACCGGGAGAAAGACCGAAGGAGATCTAAGGAGGTCCCCCAAAAATGATGGTTCTTTGGCTGAGGGTCTTACAGAGACAGAGAGAGAGAAAGAGAGATCATTGAATCATAGGGCTGGAAAGCACCTTGGAGGTCTTCTAGTCCAACCCTTTGGGGTCCAAAGCTGGAGTCTTTATAGCATTCTGGACAAATGATAGTTAGATGGTATATAGAGATGAGAGAGGGACATGATAGATAGATGAAAGGGAGGGAGAGAGAGGGAGGGAGGGAGAGGGAGATAGATCGATACTAGTAGATAATAGAAGGATGGATGGATGGATGGATGGATGGATGGATGGATAGATAGATAGATAGATAGATAGATAGATAGATAGATAGATAGATACTGGTAGGTAGATGGATGGGTGGGGGGGAGGGAGGGAGGGATGATGGATGGATGGATGGAGAGAGAGATGGACAGATGGACAGATAGATATATTGGAGAGAGAGAGAGAGGTAAAGATAGACAGATGATAGATAGATAGATAGATAGATAGATAGATAGATAGATAGACAGACAGACAGACAGACAGACAGACAGACATAAGAGAGAGAGACAGAGATAGATAGACAGAGACAGACAGAAAGAGAGATAGATAGATAGACAGACAGACAAATAGAGAAAGAGAGAGACAGATAGATATATAGACAGAGATAGAGAGAAAGAGAGAGACAGAGATAGATAGACATAAGAGAGAGACAGAGACAGAGATAGACAGATAGACAGACAGACAAGAGAGAGAGACACAGAGAGACAGATAGATAGATAGATAGATAGATAGATAGATAGATAGATAGATAGATAGATAGACAAATAGAGAAAGAGATAGATAGATAGATAGACAGACAGACAGACAGACAGAAAGAGAGAAAGAGAGACAGATAGATAGATAGATAGATATAGAGAGACAGATAGATAGATAGATAGATAGATAGATAGATAGATAGAAAGACATAAGAGAGACAGATAGATAGACAGAGACAGACAGAAAGAGAGATAGATAGATAGACAGACAGACAAATAGAGAAAGAGAGAGACAGATAGATAGATAGATAGATAGATAGATAGATAGATAGATAGATAGACAAATAGAGAAAGAGAGAGAGAGAGAGAGAGAGAGAGATACTGGTAGGTGGATGGGTGGGTGGGTGGGGGAGGGAGGGATGATGGATGGATGGAGAGAGAGATGGACAGACGGACAGAGAGACATAGATATATTGGAGAGAGAGATAGGTAGATAGAGATAGACAGATAGATAGATAGATAGATAGACAGACAGACAGACAGACAGACAGAAAGAGAGAAAGAGAGACAGATAGACAGAGATAGAAAGACAGAGATAGATAGACATAAGAGAGAGAGACAGAGATAGATAGATAGACAGAGACAGAGAGAGAGAGAGAAAGAGAGAGACAGACAGACAGACAGACAGACAGGTAGATGCAAATCAGAATTATTAGGAGAGAGGGAGAAAAGAAAAGCAAGGGATAGAGAGGAAGAAGAAAAAGATTGGCTGCCCACTCCCTTCACTGCCCTTGGAGTGCCCTGAAGTGCAGAGTGAAATTGCTCTCTCAACTCCGACTACCCATTTCTATAAAAACAACCGACGGAGTCAGCAAAACCCAAAGATTCCGTGTGTGTGGTTCCCCCCCCCCCCCGGTCTCGAGCACAAAGTCCATCAGCGGTTTCCAAGCAGAACATAATTCCGGCGTCCATCTAGGCTGGCGGTTGGCTAGGAAGGTGGTTGGCCTTTTCCCCCCGGGTGCGATTCCTTCCTTCCTTCCTTCCACCCAAATCCCAACATTGTGGATTTTGTGCCCAGCTTTGGTGTTGCTTCTCTTTCGTGAACGAACCCGTTCCGGCTGCTGGTTTTGGATCTCGTGCAAGGATGGCAGATGTTTGGGTGAACGCGTGACGGGGTTTGCTGCCAAGGATCAGTTCCTAAAAAAAAAAAAAAAAAAAAAATCTGATGTTGGGGAATGCACCGATTCTAAGGGGCCAATGCAGCCAATGCACGGCTGGCTGGGGGATTCTGGGAGTTGAAGCCCATCCAGCTTCAAGTTGGGAAGGTTTAAATCCATCCTTGGCTACAGAAGCTCCTCCTGGTTTCCCTGTCCTCTCAACTTTAGCCACTTGAATGAAGATGGATGGACTTCAACTCCCAGAATTCCCCAGCCTCTCTCTCTCTCTCTCTCTCTCTCTCTCTCTCTTCTCTCTCTCTCTCTTCGCTTTTTCTTTCTTTTTCTTCCTCCTTTCTTTTTTCCTCCTTTCTTTCTCTTTCTCCTTTTTTGCTTTTTGTTTCTTTGTTTCTCCTTTTTCCTTTTTTCTTCCTTCTTTCCCTCTTTCTTTTTCTTTCTCTCTCTTTCTTTCTCTTCCCTCCTTCCTTCCTTTCCATCTATCTTTTCTTTCTCTCTTTCTCCTTTTTTCTTTTTCTTTTTTTCTCTCTTTTTCTTTCTTTTTTCTTCCTTTTTCTTTTTCTCTTTCCCTTCCTTCCTTTTTTCTTTCTTTCTTTCTTTCTTTTTTCTCTCTTTCTCTTTTTGCTTCTTCTTTTTCTTTCTCCTTTCTTTCTTTCTTTCTTTCTTTCTTTCTCCTTTCTTTCTTTCTCCTTTCTTTCTTTCTCTTTCTCCTTTTTTGCTTTTTCTTTGTTTCTTTGTTTCTTTGTCCTTTTTTCTTTTTTCTTCCTTCTTTCCCTCTTTCTTTCTTCCTTCTTTCCTTCCTTCCTTTCCATCTATCTTTTCTTTCTCTCTCTCTCCTTTTTTCTTTCTTTTTCTTTTTCTTTCTTTTTCTTTTTTCTTTTTCTCTCTCTCTCCCTTCCTTCCTTTCTTTTTTCTTTCTTTCTTTCTTTCTCTTTTTCTTTCTTTTTTTCTTGCAACTAAAAGAATGACATGTTCATTTAAAAAAAAAAAAAGAAGATGATTGTAGGTATTTATTTGCAATGCTGACCACATTTCCCAATGAATCCTTCCGTTCCGCCCGCTCCAGTCAGAGCTGAAGAAGCTTCTTGGGTGAGAAGCGAAATGTCTTCGAAGAAAAAACCCAGAAAAGCCAATTGCCTCTTGAAAAAAAAAAAAAGAAAGAACTTTTGGGACCACCGTGACTAGGAGGACTGGGAAATCTCCAAAGACATTTCCCAATGAAAGTCTACACTGAGAGGGACTCAGATCTCAAATTAAAAAAGGGGGAAGTGGGGGAAATTTGAAGAGGGGAAGAGAAACAAGGAAAGGAATCAGCAAGTAATATATTTTGAGAAGGCAAAGAAGCCTTGGAAAGCTCAGCATTCACCTGGAAACTATTAATTTGGATAACAACATTTCCAACCGAATGTAGCAGCAGGCTCATATTGAAATAAATGGATGCCGTTATTCGTTTAACCTTGAAGAGTTATTTCTGAAGATAACAATTGGAGAAATTGCAGTAAAGCTCAGGAGGAAATTAAAACATCCATAAACAGAAGAGGGCCGGATTAGAAAACTGTTCAGAAAAGAAGCTTAGAAGAAATAAGTCATGACAATTCACACAACGAATCAGAGGACCGGGTGAATTTAGTAGCAACGGGGACCGCAAAGGCCTTTTTTAAAATAGTTCAGATTCATTCAAGGGTTTGCCAGTTACAATCCAACATTCTCTAAAGCCAAACCAAGTTTCCTTTCAAACCATGATGCTGTTGGGTCTGTAAAAAAGATTTGGCTAGGCTAGGAACCGAAGTCGCCTTCGGAAGTTCATCCCTGGAGGCTTTCGAGAAGAGACCGGATGGCCCTCGGTCAGAAATGGTGTGTAGGGTCTGCTTGGGGGAGGGTGAGGGGGGGTTGGACTAGATGACCTCTGAGGTCCCTTCCAGCCGTGTTAATCTGTAAAACCTGCATTGCAAAATAGGCCAGCTTGATAAAAAAAAAAAATCTACAGATTTGGAGAGGAGAACCTGAAGCCTAAGAAAATTGGGGGGTCGTGCCCACCCCTGGAGGATTTCAGGCGGGGAAAATAATACAGGTACCGCTCGGCTTAACGACCGCAAACGGGGGCCGGGATTTCCGTCGCGAAGCAAGGACTTGTTACGCGAGTCACGCCCGATTTCACCACCCTCTGGGCCAAAAGTTGTTATGCAAAATCCCTGCAGCCGTTAAGCGAAGCGGGCAGTCGTTAAACAAAACCGATGTTTCCCCCCCCTCCGTTGAGTTTGCTTGTCCGAATCCGGCTTGGGGGGAAAAAAATCGCAAACGGCGATCCCGGGACCTCAGGAGGCCTTGATACGTGCCATTTGCCAAGCGCTTGATTGGACGACGGGATGTGGCAACGGTCGTAAGCACGAGGAGAACCGGTTGCAAATCACCTTTTTCGGTTAAAACGAATGGTTGTTAAGTCGTGGACGATCCGTAGGAGCTAGGAAGATGGGGAGGCCCGCTAGAGATAGATTGCATCCTCTAATCTTGGAGGGAGAGGTACAGATACAGATTAACAGAGTTCGAAGGGACCTTGGAGGTCATCTAATC